AGTTAGTTAAGCCTTAAGAAATCAATTTAATAGCTACTGGAAGCGTATTAGTGCCACTTGGACACTTTTTTTTTTATTTCAACACTTTAATCGGTAAATTTTTTAGTCTGTAGAATTTACACTTTAATCTGTAAAATTGAGACTTTAATTTGTAAATTGTACACTTTAATCTGTGAATTTTACACTTTATTCTGAGCAGCCTGTACTGTAATCTGTTAACATTAAAATTACGGTCATTAAACGAATTTGCATATGATGATATCAATAACATATTCACTGAGAATACATACGGTACTTAGTAATAAATACAGGTTTTTTTGCATATATGCGATATGGCTGACGTCACAATAGCCGTATCAGCCCTGCAGGACTGATATGGATTTGCGGGGCTGATATAGGTTATCAACCCTGCAGGGCTGATAGGGATTAATATCACATCCCTAGTAAATTAAACCTCAAAAAACAGTAATTGTGATCATACACATATTTTGGGGGTTACATAATTCTCTTAACGACAGATGATACAAACAAATTTTTTCTTTGAAAAAGATTAAATATCATGTCACAAGTTTAGAAAAGTGGATGGTCCTTAGAATTTTTTCTCTGAAGAACTGGAAAATGAAATAGACTTGGAAAATATTAGTAATATTTCAAAAAAACAAAACAAATATAGACAAATCACATTCAGTAAAGGTTAACATGTACAGGTGAAAACAAATTTCAGAATATGTTACCTTGGTGCTAAAAGTGTAATATTAACTTTTGAAAAATATACCAAGCCAGGTGAATTTTAAGAGGCATATCAAAATGACAAAAATTTAGCAATATCACATAGGGTGATTTTTACCATTTAGTTTTACCTAATAAAATTCACCTGGCTTGGTATATTTTTCTTAAGTTTATATTACACTTTTAGCACGATGGTAACATATTCTGAAATTTGTTTTTACCTGTAAACCTGTACTGAATGTGATTTGTCTATATTTGGTTTTTCATTGAAATATTACTTATATTTTCCAAGCCTTTTTCATACTCCAGTTCTTAGGTGAAAAAATTCTAACCTAAAGAAAAATCCACTTTTCTAAATTTGTGACATGATATTAAATCTTTTTCAAAGTAAAAAAATTGTTTGTACCATCTGTCCTTAATTTTAATACCTTTTTGAATGTAATGATAATATAATTGATAAAAATAGATTATTTTAAAATTACGAATTGGGGACATTTGAAATAGAAGTACATGCAGAAACAAACCGAAACTGTATGAGAAAATAGACTGTGTACATTTTAAGAAGATTATTTACTCATTTTCTTCTCAACTAAATGTGTTCTGTATTTTATTACTAAGTATGTAATAGATATAATAAAACATACCCTATTCCACATCACATCCTTCGGCCCTTTGGCTAATATTGGTGTCTCAGGGTGATACAGGATGTGATATGGAAAAGGGTATGTTTTATTCTCTATATAAATTGATTTTCATTTATTTGCTTTAAGAAAAAAAGATGATTGTTCTTAAAAATGACTTCAATTTGTACAAAAAATTTATTGTAACATCAGGCGGATTGTTACGTTTTTGACGCCAGTCATTGTGACGTAGGCAACCCATTTTATACGATATAAAGTTGTATTTTCATCCAATCAAATACAGCGTTACAACCAGAATTAAATCATTAAAGAATTTTTTTTCATTTGAATTTTTAATTACTGAATTCTAAGAGTGTCTTTTACCTACTATTACCAGCCCAAGAATTAACCATTTTTGATGCATCTTGTCACACTAGGATCCCTGTTCAATCGAATTTTCTCGTAGTTAGTGTCTATCTTGGTTTCTTCGAATTCCAATATTGAAAAATATACATTACATTTATACATTTCTTATCAATTATTTTTAGGTCAAATAACTACGCATTTATTCAAATGATTGTCATTTTTGTTGTGGTTGTCTCTTTAGGTTATTTCTCAAGCAGAGATACATGTAAGAGATTAAAAGGCTTATATTAAGATCATATCTAATTTGAATCTAATTGACGGTACACTTATCAATTCCTATTAATAAACTATTGTCGTAAAAAGCAAAAGGTTTTACAAAGCAATTTTCTGAAAATTACAACAAGTACTCATTTGCTTTATAGATTGCCTAGATTCAATATGATTTTTTACAGATCATTTGATAAAACATAAATTTTTATTATACAAGAGGCCCATGGGCCACATCGCTCACCTGAGAAGCTTTGGCCATTCTGTTCTTCACCAGATTTCCCCCTTGTAATACATATTGTGACCCCACCCTACCCCACTTATCATAATTTAAACAATTTGAAATCTACACTACTCCAGTTATGCTTCAAAATAAGGTTTTAGCTTTGATTTTCAGATTTTCTATATACCGGTAATTGATTCCCCATTGTGGCCCCCAGCCCCCTAGGGTCATGATTTGAACAATTAAGAATCTACACTACAATAGGATGCTTCCAAATGAGTTTCAGCTTCTCTGACTCAGTGGTTCTTGAGAAGATTTTCAAATATTTTTCCTATATATTTCTATGTAAAACATTGATTCCCCATTGTGGCCCCGCCCTACCCCTGGGGGTCATGATTTGAACAATTTAGAATTTACACTACCCCAGGATGCTTCCACTAAGTTTCAGCTTTTCTGACCCAGTGGTTCTTGAGAAAAAGATTTTCAAATATTTTTCCTATATATTTCTATGTAAAACACTAATTCCCCATTGTGGCCCCGCCCTACCCCCGGGGGTCATGATTTGAACAATTTAGAATCTACACTACCCCAGGATGCTTCCACATAAGTTTCAGCTTTTCCGGCTCAGTGGTTCTTGAGAAGAAAATTTTCAAAGATTTTTCCTATATATTTCTATGTACAACACTCACCTGATTCCCCATTGTGGCCCCGCCCTACCCCTGGGGGTCATGATTTGAACAATTTAGAATCTACACTACCCCAGGATGCTTCCACATAAGTTTCAGCTTTTCTGGCCCAGTGGTTCTTGAGAAGAAGATTTTCTAAGATTTTTTTATATATATTTCTATGTAAAACTTTGATTCCCCATTGTGGCCCCGCCCTACCCCCAGGGGTCATGATTTGAACAATTTAGAATCTACACTACCCCAGGATGCTTCCATATAAGTTTCAGCTTTTCCGGCTCAGTGGTTCTTGAGAAGAAAATTTTCAAAGATTTTTCCTATATATTTCTATGTAAAACACTAATTCCCCATTGTGGCCCCGCCCTACCCCCGGGGTCATGATTTGAACAATTTAGAATCTACACTACCCCAGGATGCTTCCACATAAGTTTCAGCTTTTCTGGCCCAGTGGTTCTTGAGAAGAAAATTTTCAAAGATTTTTCCTATATATTTCTATGTAAAAAATTGATTCCCCATTGTGGCCCCGTCCTACCCCTGGGGGTCATGATTTGAACAATTTAGAATTTACACTACCCTAGGATGCTTCCAGTAAGTTTCAGCTTTTCTGACCCAGTGGTTCTTGAGAAAAAGATTTTCAAAGATTTTTCCTATATCTTTCTATGTAAAACACTAATTCCCCATTGTGACTCCGCCCTACCCCCGGGGGTCATGATTTGAACAATTTAGAATCTACACTACCCCAGGATGCTTCCATATAAGTTTCAGCTTTTCCAGCTCAGTGGTTCTTGAGAAGAAAATTTTCAAAGATTTTTCCTATATATTTCTATGTAAAACTTTGATTCCCCATTGTGGCCCCGCCCTATCCCTGGGGGTCATGATTTGTACAATTTAGAATCTACACTACCCCAGGATGCTTCCACATTAGTTTCAGCTTTACTGGCCCAGTGGTTCTTGAGAAGAAGATTTTTTAATGACCCCACCCTATTTTTGTCTTTTCTTGATTATCTCCCCTTGCAAGGGAATATGTCCCTTCATTTTAATAATTTAAATTCCCCTTCACCCAAGGATGCTTTGTACCAAGTTTGGTTAAAATTGGCTCATTGGTTCTTAAGAAGAAGTCGAAAATGTGAAAAGTTTACAGACGGACAGACAGACAGACAGACAGACAGACGGACGGACGACGGACGACGGATAAAATGTGATCAGAAAAGCTCACTTGAGCCTTCGGCTCAGGTGAGCTAAAAAGTGTGACCTTAATTCGTGTGAAAAACCATTTGAGCTTTAAAAGTTTGTTGAGCTGTACATTTTCGAACCTCAGAAAGATGACATGGTCCTTCGTAATATTACATATACACTGTATAATGTCAAATATTAATGTCCTTTAAAATTATTATCTAAGTTTCCAAAGTGGATGTTTCAGAGGAGAATTTATCAATAAATGGTTCGATGTTTCTACTATAGGCCTCTACCATAGGTTATTTACAAATAATATAAAATGTGCTTTCTTTGATATAATGTAATTGAAAATTTTTAATTTTCTTCTTAAAGGTGAGTATTTTTTAAAAATTCTTTGCTCATTTACCATACTCATCTGGATTTTGTCGAAATGTAGCACCGAAAAGGGATAACATTGCAGAAAGAAACCATACTACATGGTAGGATTATGAAGTATTGTTTATTTTTTTTAAATAGTAAATTTTTTCTATGAAAAGGAAAATTCTTATGCATTTACAGTTTGAAACGTTAAAATTTTGGTGTGGGGTGAATCTTTCATGATTCTAGATTTTAGAAGGTGACTCTGAAAAATGCCACCTTATTAACATACAAAGCAGTAAAACAGATGAAAAATACTATTATCACCCTGTGCTAAAAGTTGGTAAATGAAATAAAACTCAAATAATGTAAACAAATACTTTTAAAATGTATTTTGATGTCTTAATACACAATATTACATTATAACAATGTGACCTTAATTTGTGTGAAAAACGATGTGAGCTTAAAAAGTTTGTTGAGCTGTATATTGCCAATTATTTGGACTAGAATTTTTTTTACTACAAAATAATCAACAAAAACAAAACCCAATTGTTTGAGATTTTTTATTTAAAACGTTGAATACACGAATATAATTTTGATAATTTACATTATCCCAGCATGGAAAACATGTCTACTACAGAGTCTGTACCTGAAATAAACCACAAAGGAATTATTCTAGGATCAGAACTGGGTAAATGTACATTAGGCTAATAAACCCTCTGCTCACTCATATAAAATGTTGCTTGAACTTTATTTGGTTTTCCAAAAGATGTGTATTTTATCAGTAAAATACAAATGCAAACAATTATAGCATAGCTTGCGGGGCAAAATTGGAGAAAAAAAAAACAAGTACTTCAACTTGGCAAATCTATAAAGGAATAATAGACATTTATGTCATTAAGAGTTATCTCTCTTATCAGAGTATAAATGAACCTTAAAGGAGATTGAAAAGAATATGAAGTACGATTTGAGGTAAAAGAACTTCTAACGCTAATAATTGCGATGAAATTTAAGCAATTTCCTTCCAAACTAACCTCAACGCGAACAATGGTATTTAAATGTCAGTAAATAAGGACAATTTGTTTTATAATATATATTTTTCAAACAAATTTTGTTCCATTCAATTGTCAAATTTAAAATAAAAATTGAAAACCTTTATTTAGTTTAATTTAAGATCTTTTTTAATAAAAGAGCAAAACACATACAAGTAACACAAAAAACACACTTAAAAAAGTCTTTAGTAAACAATCCCGAGTTTCATGTTTTTAAAAACATATGTTACCTGAACAAATATTGCAATATTTTCTACAATTTTTCTCCCTGAATAAAATCTGACGACTATTGGTACACATATCTTGACCATATTGATTACAGTTAGAAAGTTTGTCCTCGCAGGGTACAGTTATAGTTGGCGCTGCAGGAGAAAAACGGGCTTATGTATTTACAGGTGCATACATGTATTAAAGTAGCAGGAAAATTATCCTGCAAAAAAATATATAATAAAAAAATTTAAATCGTTTTCATGCAGAACATCTTGTATGAACGCTATAGCAAACTCTTTTTTGCACAAAATTTTGAATCAATTTATTTTTTTAGTATTTTTGTAAGTTTATATCAATGGCTATTTTTGTCTACAAATAATAATATCTTTTCAACATTACCCTGACAAAATCCACAGTACAGCGGACAATTTTTCTCAGACCATTGATAGAATGGTCCACTCCTTCTACAAATCTCTTCCTTTCTATATACAGCACAAGGATGGGTGTCCATGCACACTGCAACATAGAATCTATACATGTAAGAAAATTAGAGACATAGTTTCTATTTTAATTAGGTGTGGAAATTAACTATCAAGTTATCTTTAATCACCCCTTTGATTTGTTCTGTTGTATCCATTTTTAATTTTTATGTAGCAAAAGGTATAGTATTGCAAGAAGGTTCTTTCCAAATTCACCATTATGCGCGACAGTCCAATATACCTTTGGGTGTTGTCCATGCAGATGCACCAGTCATGGATGGGTTGCTAGTCGTGGACCATGATTCTGTGCAAATCAGAGTTTAGTAAAATTTAATATCCTTAGTACTCGTATATTGTCATAATTCCACGTACAGTTATTTGATAAACTGGAAAATTTGTTTTGTGATAGCGTAAGACAGACCAATAATCGCATTATTTGATGTCTCTTTAGGCACTGCAAAATCATGATACAAGGATACCAGATATTCGCCATACCCATGTTTGTGAGTTAATTGATAAGTATCTATGATCGAGAGAATAAAAATCTGCAATTTTGGGTTTAGCGAAATCCCGTGGAGGCCAGTTCAGTGAAAGAAATATTTTTATTGCATTTATACAACGCAATACTCATTAATCTTTGCCATTAAACGCAAAATTTTGCGTTTCAAGGCAAAAAAAAATCATTCTGATCAGGCCTCAAAAGGTTTCTTACAAACAGACACTTTTAAACATACTTTCCTCCAGAACTACTGGACCCGCGTTTGCAAAGTTCGATGTCACGCCTGAAAAAGAATTAAAATTATCTCCATTTATTATAAGGCTAAATTTACATGGTCATTTCTTTTAAAACACTCTTTTGTATTTAAGTTACATGTACATGTCTGTAAACAAGAAACACATATAAGCTTACTTAATATTACTAGAAACCACAAATGAAACATCGTCCCATATATTTTACACACTTTTTATGAAGTAAAAGATTGAACGATAAGTACAGTGATGACATTCACTTTCCTCTTATCTCGTGTATAATTGACTTCAATTGGATAAAACTTCTAGCAATGTTTATATCAAGAAGTTCAAGTGTTATATGACTGATAACAAACATTGAACCTAAGGTGAAAATTCTTTCAAATACAGAAGAAAAGGTTTTTCAGCAGGAAAAAATATCAAAATTTCAGTCAAAACTGCTCTTTCATCAAACTCACCTCACAGCATACCTGTTTGAAGTGGCCACAATCAATCCCGGCAAACAGTTCCATAATTTGATTCATCTGAATATTTGCCATCTGTCTCACAGGGCAAGCAAAGGATCTTTTTACTGAACTTTTCTCTTCTTAGATAATTTCAATCAGTAACGATTGTTCTGTGGGCACATGCACATATTAAGTTTTTCGACTTAATGTCCTGAGAGCAAAACAAGGAAATGGTAGTCCCCAAGTTGTGATTTTAAAAATTTTAATGAGTTTGGCGACTCTTTAGGTCAATCAATCTAATCTTTGGAACCAAAGCAATATATGATTAACGGGACAGTGCCATTAACAGTTACTGTACTATCTTCAGGTAAAAAAAAAAGTAATCATATTTACATGGCACAGTAAATAGGCAGTCCAGCAAGATTAACTTTTATGTCCTAATATTGTGAGATACTGAGGTTTTATGATATTAATATAAAGTGAATGTTTATAGAAGTGTAATTACTAGTACGAGTTATGGTAAGATAAAAGTAGTAATATTCTTTGATTTAAAAGATTTTCTGAGAACTTAAAATTATTTTCTTGTTTATATTCACTAAATAAAAATATGTATTACAAATTACCCGTTGCTTTAAAATAATTCGTTATTTCAAGGCTTTTGTGTAAACTTTCTGTAGGGTATCAATGAAAAATTCACACGAGGATCAAACACATTCCAAACAATAATAATTGGATTTTTTGCATTTCGTCATTTTTATTGAAAAAAAACTTGTTGATAAAATTGAATACAGTATTACGCTCTTTTATAAAACTCTTTCCGAAGATATCATCCAAGCGCTGAAGAAGGGTCTATCACTGAGTCAGTCCCTATAATTCAAGAAAATGTTACTGAAATTTTCAATGTAAAACTGCTTTCAATGTAGAGATGAAAGCTCTCTTGAAATTTAAGCTTTTTATGCAGAAGTGTAATCATACATGTAGCTTGGTCTGTCATTTCATTAGAAGAAAAAAAGTGATTAAAGTATAAGTTTATGAGTCGGTAATTGAGCCTTTAACTACGCAATTCAATTACCAGTTCTAAAGTAATTGTATACTTTAAGATGGTGAGTACATACTATAAAGTATGCAAAATGAAAATTATAAGCTGTAGTGGAACTGTACCTAAAGATCTAGTAGAACGTACAAATTATCTTTTTATGTGAAATATTTGTCAGTGTGCAAGACAGAAAGAGGAAAAATAAGAACACTAGTATATGAAACTTCATACAATTCCTTTACAAAGATAGTTACCTGTGCAAATTCCACAAAACTTTCTACAGTTTTCTTCCCTCCATAAACGATAAAGAGGCTCGATGCATAAATTACTTTGATATTCGTTACAATTGGAAAGTTTGTCCTGGCACGCTATTGTTACTGTCGGTGCTAAGAAGGAAAAAATAATGTTTTAAATTTATCATTTTACTCAGCACACGTTTAGTATAAGAATATTTGGGTAGACTTTACCTTACCGGTCCCCAGATCCGCAAGATCCTCGCGCTCATTGGACTATGACGTAACAACTACGTCACTCAACTGAAATTTGCACACTATTCGACTGATTAGGGTTAGTCTTGCACCCACCTGAGAGATTAGGGTTAGTCATTGCACTAGTATTCGACTGATTAGGGTTAGTCTCGCGTCCATCCGAGAGATTAGGGTTAGTCCTCGCACATTATTCGACTGATTAGGGTTAGTTTAGCATCTGCCCGGGAGATTTCGTCTGAACGTCTTAGTCCTTGCATACCATACGATGGATTAGGGTTAGTGAATCGTTCTTTTAGTTAAGTTAAGAAATTCAGTTGTTTCTGTAATTTTTCCAAGATCATAATTCAGATTCATAGGCATTTCCTTCGTTTGTTTACATGGAAGATTGGCTAAGTCCGAAAGAAATGACACTAAGCATGCGCCGCACGTTCAGAATTATTCTTTGTCAATTTTTTCCATGAATAAACAACTATTTATTAATTTTTTCAGAGAACAAGGTTAAAAACTTTGTTTAAAAACAAAGTTTTAAACTAAACTTTTAACCGTAGAATTCAATTTTGGGGTCAAAAGGCCAAAAAACTTCATATTTAAAAATTTTTTCGATCTCATACATACTGAAGTCACCTTCGGCGACACTACATTTTAGCGCGTTTTTCTGGGGACCGGCAAAGTAAAGTCGTACCGCCGTGGCCTTCAATTCGACATTTAGATTCTAGTATATTTCCGACGTATTGTCAATTAACAATGGTAATTTCCATACTTATACTGATACGATTTATCCTGGTGAGCTTGAGATAAAAGATACCATAGAGTGTAACTCATCTGTTTCATACTTAGATATTTTACTTGAAAAAGTTGTTAATGATAATCTAACAACCAAGCTCTGTGATAAAACTGATGGTTTTAACTTTTCAATCGTCAACTTCCCTTACTTATGCAGCAATATACATTGTACCTTGGTCACCTGCGTACGGAGTTGATATCTCTCAGTTGATTCGATACGCAAAAACATGCTCTACGTATAGTACATGTGTACGTACAATTTTTAAAATGAGGTGAATTACTGACATGCAAGTTTTAAGATCAATTCCTTATTTCGCGATTCTAGAGCAAACGCTCTATCCATAACGCCATATTTTTAATTTTTTTTTCCCTTCAGTAGTTTCTTCTCATAGCCTATCTTGTATAATTATTTATGTATTATTGGCCCTGAGTACCCAGAACTGGTCTTTCTGCCCCCAAAGACAAGTGTTGGTGTCTTAACATGAGTGAACATTTCTCAAAAGGGACATTTAACCAAAATAAAAAAAAAGAACTCATTCCAATGATAAGTATATTGTTTCTGTTTAAATCTATGCCATAAAGCTTTTCTTATTTAATACACGTACCTTGACAGAATCCGCAGTATAGTGGACAGTTTTTTGTTGCCCATGGAAAGTATATTCCGGTCTTGTTGCATATCCTCTCCGAATTGAACACTTTACAATTCAATGTATCTCTACAAGCTATCAACTGAACAAGTTTAGATACAAACAAATGAACAGATACAGCTTTTTTTTTAGGGGGGGGGGTCATAGGCATATGTCATTATATGATTAAAGTAGACATTTCTTTCACTACCTATGTCATTTTCAAACATTGTGCAAAAAAGTCTATGAGGATTAATTTTTGTCCAATAGTTTATTATGAAATGTTTAAAACATTTGTCTGCTTAATGGCTGTGTGATGCGTACAGTGTGTGTGTCTGTCTGTGTCTGTGCTTGTCACTCTCGCTTTCAGCTCCACCCCTGGCTAGCAGTTCGCTGCGAAAGAGTTAGCAAAATATGTAAGTCTTCTCTGCCAGGTATAGCCTCTCCGCAGTTAGACCTATGTGGCCCAGATATGGGATCCTCCTCGAGGTAGCAGATGGAAATTGGGTACCTTGCGGCCCCAAGCAGAACCACAGGGTCTTGGAGGAGACTAGGCCCCTAAATGCACGGCATGCATGGCCCACCGGCGTGTGGATATGCCCTGATGCCTGCAATTCTAGCCCCCAGCTATAGGTCAAACAGCCGCACTGCCTTGCGGGGAGGCTTGGGAAAGTCAAAGGCTATGAAAGATAATCCACACAGAAAATCCGTGTAGATGAGCACGAAAGCAAGGGAACGCAATCATCTAAGGAAAGGACAACCCTGAAAGAAAACCACTGTCCCGGGCTTCCGAGTTCAAGGGGTTTTGCTTAGGGCCAACAACCCTAACATGTCAAACAATGCAGCTACAGAAACCTTAACCAGAGAACAAAATGATGGAAGAAGGATTGAAACCACTCAGGATACTGATAGTATGACGGGTGAATCCCCCACCCTGATAGGAGATGTCCTTCGACCAAAAATAACACGTAGAGTGGGCTGCTGGAACGTGCGGACCCTCTACCAAACAGGAAAACTAGCACAAGTGGTGAGAGAAATGGAGCATTACAAGATCGAGCTTCTTGGAGTAAGTGAAACTAGATGGACAGGCAAGGGATCAAAACAACTAGTGTCAGGACATCAAATACTCTACTCTGGAAGAACTGATGAACATCATAGCAGAGGAGTAGCAATAATCACAACAAAAGAAGTTTATAGAAGTCTGTTAGAATGGAAGCCAGTGAATGAACGAATCATAACAGCAAGATTCAACTCAGCCTTTGCCAAACTTACAGTAGTGGTATGCTATGCACCAACAGATGATGCAGAAGACGACGAAAAAGTCTCCTTTTACGACAGCTTACAAGAAATAGTAGACAATACACCATCTCACGATGTCCTACTTATCTTGGGAGACTTAAATGCAAAAGTTGGGAAAAGCAATCAAGGAAGAGAAAGCATCATGGGTAAGCAAGGCTTAGGAGAATGTAACAGCAGTGGAGAGAGACTGTGCACTTTCTGCCAAGAAAACAACTTGATAATTGGTGGAACTATATTTATGCACAAAGATATCCATAAGACAACATGGAACTCCCCAGATGGACATACGAAAAACCAAATTGATCATGTCATCATCAACAAAAGATGGAGAAGTAGCCTTCTGGATGTGGTTGCAAAGCAAGGAGCAGGCGTGGGAAGTGACCACTCATTAGTACTGGCTAAAGTCAAGCTGAAGCTAAGGAAATCAAGGAAGAAAGATCAAAGACCGCCTCCTATTAACATCCAAAAGCTTAAAGATCCAAAAGTTATGAAATCTTTTCAATTGAAAGTGCAGAACAAGTTTGAGGCTCTTATGGAACACCCAGATGAAATTGATATAGAAACATTTAATGAGATACTCTTAGAAAATGCGCAACAAATACTTGGCCCAAGAAAGAGGAAAAAAGAGGGATGGATATCAGAGAACACATGGAAAATAGTAGAACAACGAAAAGAAAAGAAAAAGAAAATCCTGTCCACTAAATCAAAGAGACAAAAAGACCAGCTCCAAGCAGAATATCGAACTATAGACAAAGAAGTTAAGAAAAATGCAAGAGCAGACAGAAAGGCATACACTGAAAAACTAGCTATAATGGAGCAGAACAAGCAGCTTCTAAACAAGATATGCTAACCCTCTATCAAATTACCAAAACACTAGCAGGTAAATTTCAGACAGCAGATTAACCAGTAAGAGACAAAAAAGGAAATGTCTTATCAAAGGAAGAAGATATACAGAAACGATGGAAAGAACATTTTGAGGAAGTGTTCAATACAAATGATACAGGAAATGAGGTCCTGATAACACCAGCCATTAACATACTGGACATTAATACAGATCCACCCAGTATAGAAGAGGTAAAAAAGGCAATAAAGAGATTAAAAAATGGAAAGGCTGCTGGCATTGACCAGATAAATGCAGAGCTCCTCAAGGCCGAAGAGTACTGGACACCTACCATCTTGACAAATATTCTACAGAACATCTGGGAATCAGAAGAGACACCAACCTTCTGGAGAACAGGCCTTATTGTAAAACTTCCAAAAAAAGGAGACCTTTCCAACTGCAACAACTATAGAGGGATAATGCTGCTCTCAGTATCGATGAAAGTGCTAAGCAGAGTGATATTGAACAGAATCACAGACATAGCAGATCCTCTACTGCGGAAAGAACAGGCAGGATTTAGAAAGGGGAGATCATGTGCTGACCAGATATTCACTCTAAGACAAATACTAGAGCAGAGCAATGAATGGAACTCTCCGCTTTACATCAACTTCATCGACTTTACAAAAGCTTTTGACAGTGTTAATCGCCTAGCCTTAGAAAAAATTCTCAGTCATTATGGGATGCCAGATAAAATTATCTCCATCATTAAGATGTTGTATACAGACCTAAATGCCAGAGTTATCTGTGGATCAAGCTTATCAGAGGAGTTCGAATTACAGACTGGAGTAAAACAAGGATGTCTGCTCTCCCCTCTTCTCTTTACATTCTGCATTGACTGGATTATGCGAGAAACCATCAAGAATAAGCGGACGGGAATTACTTGGGCCATGACAGAGATGTTAGAAGACCTGGATTTTGCAGACGACATAGCACTGCTATCACACCGCCATCGTGACATGCAAGAAAAACAAAACAACTAGCAGAAACAGCAAGGAAGATTGGCCTTAATATCAACAACACCAAGACCAAGATCATGAAGGTCAATACTAAATCAGAGGAGCCCATCACCTTAAATAACGAAGAAATAGAAGAAGTCTCAGAATTTGTCTATCTAGGAAGCAAGATCACCACAGATGGGAACTCAGAGGTAGATGTACTAGCTCGAATTTCAAAAGCCACAGGAGCGTATGTTGCACTAAGAAACATCTGGAGGTCAGCAAAGATCAGCACAAACACCAAAATAAGGATCTTCAAGAGCAACGTGCTTGGGGTCCTCCTATATGGTGCTGAAGCATGGAAAGTTACTAAAACCATCTCAAACAAGCTAGATACCTTCCAGACACGCTGCCTTCGCAGAATACTGCGCATCTTCTGGCCAAATACCATCTCAAATGAGGAGCTATACAAAAAGACCAACACCACCCCTCTATCTCAAGTTATAAAGAGAAGAAAATGGCTGTGGATAGGGCATGTACGTAGAATGCACCCAACTTCCATCCCAAGGGTTGCTTTGAAATGGACACCACCTGGCAAGAGAAAGAGAGAAAGACCAAAAGAAACATGGAGAAGATCTGTAGAGAAAGAGATGGGAAAGAACCGCTGGACATGGGGACAGATACAGAAATGGACACAGGACAGGCCAGCATGGAAGTCTCTGGTGACGGCCTTATGTGCTATCCAGCACGAAGAGGATTAAGTAAGTTAAAACATTTGGAATTTTTAACAATCCTCGAAGTAGTAATGTGCCATTTAATTAATATCAAATGTTTAGAAATTTCTTAAATTCACAGCTTCAAAGATTTGTAATGATTGTAGATTTTTTAAGATTGATCAATGTTTTTGTCCTAACTTTTGTTTCATTTCTCGCAAATCTTTTTTTAATTTTCACCAACAAATATGGGAAACGGAAGTTCAATTGAAAGAGTGTAGATTACCTTCAGGTATGACAAAACTAGAAACTTCAGTGGTGGATCTAGTGTTTCCTTGGGGTGTTCCAATTGTTAAAAAAAATTACAGCAAATAAGAGTTTTAATTTTATATTCTAAAATACGGGAAAGAAGTGACGGGTCTACTTTTTATCGAATCAGCAATGCATGAATTTAAACCATGCTATTTATCAATGATGCAGATCGAGCTCATGTTCTTTAGGTGACGAGTTATTATCGCAGTTTTACTTTAATATCTGCTAGATGAAAGATGTAAATTACGCATAGGTATGTTAAACTGTATGCTGTTGCATCATCATATTTGTGATGGACCAATGTTTGTGGACAAAGGTACCTTTATCCACGAATTTACATCCCCGAGAACAATTATTTTGTCAATATGATTATATATTCACTTAATCTCTAAAATATACAAGTAACCGACGAAATTACACTCCCCAGAAGGAAGAAAATATTGCTAATCCGCACAAATAAAAATGATTCCACTGTCATCTGATTCTTTGTTGGTTCCTTTCAGTAAGAAATTATTTTTTTTTACATAAAATGGCAAATAGAAGTACATTTGTACTTGTAGAGCATCTTTGGAAAAAAAACCATTTTCTGGATATAACTGAATAGTAAGATTGTTACCTTGACAGAATCCACGGGTCTTCTCACAATTCCTTCTGGCCCAAGTGTAGTAAGGACCATTCACATCACAAATTGCAGTTGAATTATAAAGAGCACAGTTAGCACTTGGGTTATCATTGCACGTAACAACTACGAATTCATTTAATTTTTGTAATATAAAATTTATTAATCATCACCGTTGCTGGTCCCGAAGCCACTAACGTATTTATGCACAATTAAATTTAATTGAATATAATCAACCTATTTCATTTTTTTTAATTGAAAATTATCCATCTCTAGCTTTGTGCGCTGGGCATCTACATATTTATAAATAAAAATATTGATTTCATAGAAAGTTAACAATTTCTTAATATATTTATTTTTACATTTTTTACACCATAATGAGGCCTAATAAAATACAAATTGTATACCTATCCTGAAATCTATATTTTTGTAACATTTTAACTCTAAACTATAGATCTGTCTGATTGTGTACGTACCGTGGCAAAATCCACAAAATAGAGGACAGTGTTTCCTTGCCCAGAGGTAATAAGCACCGTGTAGATCACATATCACCGTGTCGTTGTAGAGAGAACAATTGGCACTGGGGCTGTCATTGCAGGCTGTGCAAAGAATGAATGATAATTATGTGTGTAATGAAAGTATTAAAATCATGCACAAAAATACCAATTGAATATCTTCTGAATGCATATAGACTGATAGAATTGAAGAGTATGTAATTTCAGCTTTAATCTAAATACAATGTACATAAGTCGCCCGCGTGGCGCAGTGGTTAGAGCGTCTACTCTAGAGTCGCCAAGTTCAAGTTCAATTTACTCACTCTAACCAATTAATGGTACATGAGGTTCTATTCAATTTATTCACTCAAAACCATGTAAATGGTACATGAGGTACAAAAACACATAAAACATATATACATATAATACAGTTGGTCTAGCAGAAGATGATAACTAAGGAGAAGAGACAATATTATTAATTTTAGAAATAAATGTACATATTTTTTTTCAAAGAATCAACATCATTTTGGCACATGACTTCAAGAAACTTGATAATATTTGGATTAGAACAAATTTTTTTGTTCAAATAAACTTTCCTCAGTTGGTTTAAAGCACTACATTCTAAGATATAATGATATTCATCTCCTATCTGGTTACTACTGCATAAGCTACAAACTCTTTCATTTCTCTGAGTACCATTCCATCTACCTGTTTCAGTTGGAAGGTGGTGATTTGCGGTTCTAAACATAACAAAAGTTTTTCTAAATTTAAATAACAGTTTTAAATTTTTTTCGCACTCAAAATTGGTTTTATAAATTCTACAATATATACATGTACAATATATACGAAAACAATATACAAGATACACGTGAAATGGCGGAAATACATTCATATGACGTAACAAAAATAATTATGAAGGACACATTTTTAATATAATTATATGTAAAGGTATACTGAAAGAAATTTAATGAAACTTTCTCAGAATCTCTATTACATATTGCCATTGTGCAACTCCTATTTTACTTTTTGATCCGACACATATTTTGGGTTTCCCGGTCACAACAAAACATGGACCTTGCCATTATAACCATAATGAGGCGGGGGGTATCATTTAGTGAGCTCATTGCGCACAGTACCTCTAGTTTAACTTAGAA